CTTCATAAGCAATTTGAAACATCGCTGCCATTGGTTCAAACTCTTTCCACGGCACTTTACCGGTCAGCATTTCAACCAATGTAACTCCTACGCTCCATACATCAGCTTTACGTCCATATGCAGTCTTTCCTAACAGCACCTACAATAATTTTATTTAGTCACAAAAAGAAAAGAAAAGGAGAACTGCTTGTCCCTCACCTCAGGAGCAGTGTAATGAATTGTGCTATGAAAGGCTCCTTGTTGACTTGCCAAACTCTGCATTTTTTTACCCGAGCCAAAATCGGCTATCTTGACATTTCCAAATGAGTCTCGTAATATGTTAGCTGACTTGATATCGCGATGAATTATATGGTTTTTGTGTAGAAAAGCAAGACCTTCCAGCACCTAGAATAATGATTTTTAACTGAAAAAAAAATTGGAAGTGTTAACATGAAATGGAATTTGCATTCTCACCTGTGCTGTATATTTCCTTGCGACAGGATCTGACAAGGCTCCAACCAACGCGAGGTGATCCTTAAGCGAACCGCCGGTCATATATTCCATGAATATCAGTATTTTGTCACTGGTTTTTTGTACTCCAAGGTATTGAACAATTCTTGGATGCTGAAGGCGTCCTGAAAAGAAAAGAACAGCAAGCTTGCAACATAGTTTCGCTTGTAAACGACTTAGGTGTACCTAATTCTTGCACGTCAAATTCTAATCCCTGCGCTTCGCGTCTAAGCTCTCTATTGTCAGGGATGATGGGTATCTTTTTGACTGCAAGATCCATGCCAGTATCGACATCGTAAGCAAGATAAACGCTGCCAAAAGCACCGCTGCCTATACATCTGGAAATGAACAGCAATAAAGGAAAAAAGCAACAATAAAGTCAAAACAAAAACGAAATATAGGGAGAAATAAAAACAAAATGAGAAACATATAATCGAAGGCGTAAGGGCAAAAATACAAAAAAAGGGAAGCAAAAATAACGTACTTAGCCTCCTTCCAATGAACTGGTGCACGCGGAGATTGAGCGCTAAGTTTTCTCTCGTCGATATCCCATTGCACACCGCTCGAGCACGATGACTCACCTGTACTTCGAGCTGCGAATGAAACGCGACTGGCACCACATGACGAACAATTGATAGAATAAGGAACCTGAAAAAGCACTCTATTGACCTTCTTGTCACAAATTTGACGACAACAAAGTTTGGCAACTGGTTACATGTTGCTAGGATACGAACGACAACATTCAAAGTTGGCATAATGGTGGGGTACTCACCAAGATTCTAGTATCCCAATTTGAGCAAC